AGAGTTTTGTTATCTATTTTTACCTGTAATTCATTTACCTTTTCCTTTAGAAATTTGAATGATTTAGCATTTGTTGCATATATTAGTACTGCTATTACTTCATTATCTAGTCTACATTTTAACATTTGATAGTTTCCCTGCTTACATGTGCCTCTCATTTTTAAATGCGTTTCTTGCAAACAACGTATTGTTTCTGAGTTTTGATCCACTCTGCTATCTGTTTCCATTCATGGGTGAGTTCATCCCATTCATATTTAAAGGGTTTTTTTTTTTGAGGCAATTGGGGTTAAGTGACTTGTACAGGGTCACCTGGCTTTTAACGATCAAGTATCTGAGGCTGATTTTGAACTCAGGTCCTCCTGACTCCAGGGCTGATGCTCTATCTACTGTGCCACTTAGCTGTCCCTCATATTCAAAGGTATAATTACTATTTGTGTATTTCCCTCCATTCAATTTTTCCTCATTATTTATCCTTCTCACTCTCTTTTTACCCTGTACCTCCTCAGAAATCTAATTTACTTCTGACCATTGCCTTCTTGCACATTCTTCTAAAAGTCTCTCCCTTATCCTGTCCCCTTGCCCTCCTATTTCTCTGTAAATTAAGAAAACTTTTATACCCTAGTAAATGTATGTTATTCCTTCTTTAACTCAGTTCGGATGAGAATAAGGTTCCCACAACTGCCTTCTACCCTATACTCTCCTCCACTGTAACAGTTCTTCCATTCATGTCTCCATTTTATCTTGCTCTATCCAATTTCATTTTTTAGGGTGGTTATATCATAATCAAAGCAACCTCAAGCCTTCAATCTGTGTATACTCTTTTGAACCACCCTACTAATGCTAATTTTTTTTTTTTGGCTATGCAACAGGGTTAAGTGACTCGCCCAGGGTCACACAGCTAGTAAATGTTATGTGTCTGAGGCCAGATTTGAACTCGGGTCCTCCTGAATCCAGGGTCAGTGCTCTATCCACTGTGCCACCTAGCTGCCCCAATGATAATATTAAGTTAAAGTATCATTTTCCCATATGAGAAGTATACAGTTAAATCCCTTATAATTAGTCGTTCATGTTTACCTTATGTTTTTCCTGATTGTTATAAGTCAAATTGTCTGTTCAGTTCTGGTCTTTTCCTTGAGAATATCTGAAAGCCCTTTAGTTCATTAAGTAACCATTTTTTTTTCTTTGCAGGATTACATGCAGCTTTGTTGGGTAGGTTATTCGGGGTTGCAAGACCAACTTCTTTGCCCTTTGGAATATTATATTCCACATCCTATGGTCTTTTAATGCAGAAGCTCCTAAATCTTGTGTTATCTTGAATGTAGCTTCACAATATTTAAATAGTTTCTTTCTAGCTGCTTGTAATATTTTCTTCTTGACCTAGGAGCTTTGAAACTTAGCTATAATGTTCCTTTGAGTTTTCATTCTGGGATCTCTTATGTGGTGATCTTTGGATTTTTTTCAATTTCTGTTTTACCCTTCAGTTTTAAAACTTCAGGGTAGTTTTCCTCAGTAATTTCTTGAAGTATAGTTTTCTAGACAGTTTTTGATCATAACTTTCAGGTAGTCCAACAATTCTTATGTTGTCTTTCTTCTATTTGTTTTCCAGCTCAGTTGTTTTTCTAATGAGATGTTTTGCATTCTGTTTTGTTTTTCATTCTTTTGATTTTTTTTCTTATTTCTTGATGTCTTATGGAGTCATTAGCTTCTCCCTTGCCCAATTCTAAGTTTTAAGGGGTTATTTAAATTTTAAGATCACTTTTTCCAATTGGTTGACTTTCTTTAAATAATTTTCTTGGGTTTTTTTTTGCACTACTGATTTCTTTTCCCATTTTTTCTCAACCTCTTTTATTTGATTATTCAAGTCCTTTTCAAGCTCTTCCAAGAACTCTTTTGGGCTTGTGACCATTTTATGTTTTTTCTTTGAAGCTTTACAAGAAGCTATTTTGTCTTCTGAGTTTGAACCCAGAGCTTCTCTGTTACCATATAGCTATCTGTAGTCAGATTCTTTCTCTTGTTTTTTTTTATTCATTCATTTTTAACAGCCCATTTCTTGGCTGTTAACTTTATGTTAGAGTCAGCCTTTGCTCCTGGGATATGGGGGATAAAGTCCCAGGCAATAGGTTTTTGTACTGTTGTTTTCTGGGCTCTATTTGGGGGCCTTTGACCTCTTACTCCTTCCAGTATTCTATAATCTAAGGCTAGGTGTTGTCACTGCTCCTCTGGTTCATACCTTGGTTTATAAGTGACCTCAGGCACTCTTCTCCACTCCTCGGCTGTGACCAGGGCCCCCAGCACCGCTACCGTCACACTCTTGCTCCCGGTGGTCCTTAAGGTGGCAGCAAGTGTCAGCTTACCCTTCTGCCCTTGAACTGAACCACAGACTTTGTTGTCTTGTGAGTGACCACAACTAATAGGGCCTCTATCCCTGGGACCACAGTCAGTGGGCCTGTGCTTACTCCTCCTTGCCTGCAGCCAGAGCCTGGGACAGGGTCTGCTCAGCACAGCTGGGCCTCCTGCCCAGCACCAGCAGAGGGCTCATACAGTCTTCACAGTCTTCCTTGAGCAGTTACTGGAACTCCCTTGTTGTCTATGGGGCAAAAGCTATAGAAGCTTAGCTTCAATACCTGCCCCCAGGGCTTCCTGTTTGTTGACTTGGCAGGAAGTACCTGCATTTCAGTCAGGCCCAGATGACCACCCTGGAAAGTCAGATCTTTCCTAAGGATCCTCCAGTGTTATCTTGGGCTGGATGTCTGCTTTAATTTATTAATTAACTTTTAATTAATTTGGCTGCTCTAAAATTTACTTTAAGGCATTATTTTAAGTTATTTAGGTGACCAAGTAGTTTCCTGCCTTATTCTGCCATCTTCATACAATTCCTTTAGTATCTTTTTTAATTTTAGATTTGCTATTCTTATACACTTAACACTTGCTATCTGGCCTCAGATACTAGCTTTGTGACCTTAGGCAAGTCATTTAGCCTCTGTTTGCCTTTGTTTCCTCATCAGTAAAATGGGGATAATAATAGAACCTACCTTTCAGGGTTGTTGCGAGGCTTAAATTAGATGATGTTTTGCAAAGTGCTTAGTTAGCACAGTGCTTGGTGTGTAGGAGGCATATAAATCTATCTGTACCATGACTCTTGTTTGTTCTAGTCAGCACTTCCATATTTTTGTGGTTATATTTCTTAAAGTAAGTTTTTACTACTACCTTTTGTTTTTATTTCACCTATATTTCCCAGTGAATACCTCTGGTTATATTTTTAATATTAACTTGTATAATGGTTTTGTGGCTGTCCTGTTCTAGGTAAAGGGAACTATTGTTTTTCCAAAGAACCACATTATATACTATTGTTTTCTAAACAACTAAATTTGTTGTTCAGTCTGGTCCAATTCTTTGTGACCCCATGTGGAAGTTTTCTTGGAAAAAATACTGTAGTGGATTTCCATTTCCTTTTTCCAGCTCATTTTACACATGAGGAAACTGGGGCAAATAGGGCTAAGTGACTTGCCCAGAGTCACATAGCTACTAAGTTTCTGAAGCCAGATTTGAACTCAGGAAAGATAGTCTTCCTGATTCCAGGTCCAGCACTGTATTCATTGTGCTGTCCACCTTTTATATAAACTCATGTTAAAACTTTCAAAAGAGGAATTACTACAAATTTTAGAAACTTAGAAATAATAAAGATATGTAAAAATGTACATATGTAATCTGTATATATTTAATAAAACATAAATATAACCAATATTTGAAGATATAAACCTGCTGTTAATTTTGTAAGATAATATGGTTGGGCTTGAGGAGAATTAAATCAGCCAATTAAATGTTTTATATCAATTCCACCTGACCAAACCTGTGGATTTTTATTATCCCTTTAATCCTGAAAAGCAGGAAAGAAAACATGTTCTCATCGAGCAGAAGAATTACCTCTAAAATAACTCCTTAGGAGCTCCAAATCACAGTTATGGCTTTATTTTCCATTTCAGGCTGAGAGGCCAAGTCCTTGAAAGTATTTTCCCTCCTCTTTTCCCTTTAGTTTTGTATTTCAGAAGTGTTTCTATTTCAAAAGGGCCTGTTAGTGCAACTTATTTTTATAGAGAGGGTGCCTGTGTTGGTTTAGTGAAAAAAACAAAACAAAACACCACCACCACTTTGAAGTCATAGGATTTGACTTTAAGTTAGGTAGAGCGACGTAATGACCTTAACTACATCCTTTGACTTTTTGGGGTCTTAGTTTTGGCCACTGTAGAAGGAAAGACTTTATTCCGGGGCCTCTGAGCCCTGTTCCTATTTTAGCTATAGCTACAAAGTGCAATGTTGAGCCTAGGGAGTTAGGAAGACCTGGGTGAAAGTCCTGCTACTGCCACATACTGGCCACAGGGACAGGTGAAAGTGCCCCATCAGCGTCCCAGGCAACGGCTCCCTAAGGTGATCTGCAATTGGTGTACGGAGTTTCCTCACTGGGAGCTCTCTTCAAGATAATAGTAGTAAGTGACCAAAACAAATGACAAAACCCCTCACAAATTGGTCTTAATATTTGGAGCCTGGCCAGAGATATGGGAATGACAAGTTCTGACAAAGTATCATGCGTAGCACGTTCACCTGCTAAACAATGCTTTCTGAATTTCCCTCACAATTAAATCTGAACAGATTGGTTTTTCTTCAGCCAATGCCACGTGCTTCCAGGCCAAACTCTTAGACTGTAATTGATTTAACCTTGTCACGTGGAATTTGCTTGACACTATCCTGGGAGGGAGGGGGGAGGTAGGGGAAGGGGGAAGCAGATGGGCCGGGAAGATATGTGGGCCATCGAGCCCTCCTCGCATGCCCCGCCCCTCCCCTCCCCTCCTGCTTGGCCTCCCCCGACATCCCCCCCCTCCTGCTCTGCGTCATTGAAGCTGCAGGCGAGGGGCGGGGCCCGCTTTGTGGAGCTCTGCCGCCTCCCTTCTCCGTCCCGCCCTTCTCCCCCCCCACCTTCTTCCCCTTCCCTCCCCCCGCCCCGTGAGCCCCCGCCTTGTCTTGGGGGTGGGGGGTGGGTGGGAGAGAGCGCCCCTGTCTCTCCGCAGCCGAGAGAACGCGAGCCGAACGTTCGGTCTCATGTGTGATGCCGAAAGGCCGGCGGGCGGGGGCCCAGGCGAGTGTGCGAGCCCCCTCCACAGCGGCCGGAGCAGCTAGCCAGCGGACACGGACACGGACACGGACACGGACACGGACACGGACACGGACACGATGTGTTTGTTACGCTCTTGCTACGCGGGAGTTTCCTTATTCTTCGGTCGCGGCGCCTTCACCGGGCTCAGCACCTGAGGGTTCTGTGGTGAAAATAAACTTGCTTTACCTTGACCTGGGAAAGCGCTCCGTCTGGCCAGAGAGAGTTGGCGCCAAATAGTTAAAATATATATTGAATGTTTCAGTTGATGTTTCAAGGAGTTACTTTAATGAGTTGAAGAAAGGGGAGATTTCTTGGGTTAGAGATTTTTTACCTACTCTTGGATTTTTGCTGTATGTGCCGTTTTCTTTTCTTTTTTGGAAGGGAAGCTATACCAGGAGGAATTAAGATCACCAACTTACTGTGGGATTGTTATCATTTTGATTCTGCACTGATTGAAAAATTGAAACTTATTTACTATGAAGTGTTAACATATATACACACCTTATTAGCTGTTAAAACACTGTATAATCTAATTTTTCCCCGTAGAACCTGATACTTTACTGTTAGATGAATTGGTATATCATTTTCATAACTATTTTCACAAATATATTTTCCCCTTTAGTCTTTTGATCAGGGACAGTCACAAAGCTCTTTTTAAAGAATTTGAACATAGATATTAATTTATATATTAGAATAGCTGTGCATTGAGCATTTTAAAAATTCATGCTCCTTTAATTATTCCTGTCATACTGAATATTTTGTAGAAAGGCAACTCTTCACAATATGGTAGAATGAACATTGAATTTGGGATCTGAAGACTGGGATGCCCTGATGTTAACCAAGTTTAACTTGGTTTACTCACCTATAAAATGGGGTCAGTATCTGCCCTGATTTGCTTATAAGATGATTGTGAGGATCAGATGCGTTGTATAGTGCTCTGTAACCATAAGTATATGCCATTCTTGCTTAATCTAGTTATAGAATACAACATAAGGCAAAAACATCAGCATATTTTTTGCTTACTATTGATACCCATGCTCTATTATGTAAACTGTGAGGTAATTGGTTTTGTATGTTAGGCCTGAATCATATTGTAATTTTGATGTTTATAGTAATGTTTGAAGTGACTACAAGAACATCATAACTCTTTACCCACAGGGTAAAAAAAACCAAAACCTGTTATCTTTTTCAACTACAATATCACTGTAATTTCTACGATATTTACAGGAATATGTGCATTCCCTCCAGTGGTACAGATTTCAACTCAGACATACATCATTATGTATGATTCTCATGTAGATCTTCTTATATATCTCCACATTGGAGTCTACCCGTTGCCTAATGCAGCACACACTCTGTGCATCCATCTTTTATTGTTACTTTTTTAAAGTGTTTTTTTTGGGGGGGCTAGCAATGAGGTTAAGTGACTTGCCCAGAGTCACACAGCTAGTAAGTGTCAAGTGTCTGAGACCACATTTGAATTCAGGTCCTCCTGACTCCAGGACTGGTGCTCTCTATCCATTGTGCCACCTAGCTGCCCCTTATTGGTCCTCTTGTTCAGTACATTAAATAGCCCGTTTCTTTTCCAGTTATAAATGTGTCTGATTATAAAATCTGGACTGCGCCACCCCCACCCCCCACCACCCATCGTTTGAAATTTGCTGTGGTCTATTTATGTCCACCATATATCTCTTTGGGCCTGTTGGATGATGTAATTTTGATTGCTCAGAAATAGTGCTTTGTGGTTTGTGATTTGAAATTGTGATTTGAAACCTTATAGCTTCACCAAAAAAATATTGGTGTTAAAAAAGAAGGAAATTTATTTCAGGGAAAACCTTGGTGCCACTGAAAGTGATGTACAGTTTTCCAAATGCAATATAATCTGCACTCTTCCTCCAATTTGGTAGTGCTTTTAAATATTCTTGAAGTTCTTTTTCTTTCCTTTCCTCCCGAGGCTCTGTGTAGGTCTCTGGCATAGGACTGTTTTGTAGGGATTAAAAAAAAAAAAGAAATACTGTACTCCAGGAAAAGGTTTGACAAGTATGCTTTGGATTCAGGGCCCAGACAAATAGTAAAGTCATTTATTTCTCTTTTCCTAAGCCTTCCTGCAGAAGATGAAAACTTCCCCAAGTACTGCTTTCTTCTGGTTGTTTCATCTTTAAAACAAATACATCAATTTGTGGCTTCTCATTCCCTGCAAGATAATGTCCAGAATTCCTGTTCAACTTGCATAGGACTCTTCCATTTTGCCCCCTTTCCACCTGTTCTGTCCCATCCCATCTCAGACTGTTCTTGAACACAAAATCTGTGCTTTACTGAAACTAGTTGGTTGGCTTTCCTCTGTATATACCTTTTAACAGTGAAGACTTCACTGCCCTCCACCTCATTCCACATTCTTGCCTACCTGTTCTTTAAGGCCAAGCTTAAAGTCCTTCTATGAACCATTTCCAGGCCGTAGTTTTTCTTCTGAATTTATACCTCTTATCCATCAGTGTCAGTTATTATTTATTACTTAGAAACATCTCCTGATTTTTTTAGTCTTCTATAATTGTAAAACTCTTGAATTGTTTAATTTTAAAATTTGTTCTTCTTTCCTCAGCTAAAGTTTCTTGAGGGCAGGGAAAATCTTATACTTTTATCTTCTGACACCTTGTTCTTTTATAGTCTTATTAAAAAGAATATTCTAAAGTAAAGGTTGACAAATATTAGTTGATTTTGGGATTCTGTTTGAAATAGGAATTCTGTGGTAAATTAAATCATTTGTATATGAACAATATGATATAATATAGTCTAGGTGTGGTATATTAAATTATGTAAAAAGATATGTTCCCTGAAATAGTCTTAAGGTCAGGCCAGGGATAGAAAGAAAATTTGTATCGTCACCAAAATATTCAAAACAGAGGCTACCAGTTTTACCCCTCAAGACATCTTCCACTTCTAACTTCCTCAGGTTTTGGTTACTGTTGCCTGAGTTTTCTTACTTGCAAAATCGAAGTATGTCTGCTAATCCATAGATATTAGGAAAGAATTAACAAAGTCAAAAAAAAGCTAGCTTGCTACTGAATAATGGGGACCCAGAATTTGAAAACTGATCTTGTTTGGACCCTTTTCTTTTGTAATTTTCTCTGTTGTCTCTGATGTTGGTAAATTAAAATGAGTACTTCAGTTGAGGCTTTTATGCTCAAGATTAGTGAACTTTGGTATGATAATTCACTGGTCAATTGGTTTGATACCAGTGTCTGCTCTTAAAGTGGAAGGGGAAGAGAGGGTAATAGAGGAATAAAGATTTGATATGTATGTCTAACTATATAAAATCATACTTTGAATTATCTTGTTGATACTGAATAATTATTGAAAATATATTTTAAAAATCTAACCTTTAAAGTAACTTTACATATTTTTTTCCTTTTCTTTAGATTCTTCCTGAAGTCCATTATTTCAACTTGTGAGCAGTTATGAGTTCCCCAGGAGCTTCAACAACAGCTGCAATGAAGCTAAAACAGAACATCAATCCTATTCTTTTATGTTTCATAAACTTTGTAATTTTGATCTACACTGTTTTAACGTACATTCCATTTTACCTTATGTGTGGATCAAGACAAGCAAGATCCAATCAACTTAAAGCTAAGCCTGTCAATAAACAGCCTGCTGCAGCATACCGCTCTGTTAATAGCTTGCAGGGTTTGGCTTCAGTGCTCTATCCTGGATGTGATACGCTAGATAAAGTTTTTAAGTATGCAGAAAACAAATTTAAGGACAAAAGGCTTCTGGGAACACGTGAAGTACTAATTGAAGAAGATGAAGTGCAACCTAACGGAAAAATTTTTAAAAAGGTAAGCAAGGGTTCATTTCTAATAAGATTCTACAGATAAAATACAGTGTTAGCAATGAGGGACTGAGTATTTTTGCTTCAGCAATTTTTGAAAGTTTCAGAAGTAGAGAAAATGACTAGTTTTTTTATGCCTTTTTATGTCCTTTCCTTAGCCAACTTTCAAGTACCCAAAGGTATGGGGGTCTTCCAAACATCTAAGGCTAACAGGCCGGATAGATGATACTGTACTTCCTGGCCTCAGGATGATTTCCCCATAGGCCCTAAATTTTCCAAATTGCTGTAGTATTTGGAGTATTGTAAGATAAGTATAGAAATGGTATGAAAATGCTATTACTGAGCTGATTTTCATATCTGGTGAAAGTTGGTAGACAGTTCTTAGGACCCCTATATTGGAAGAAATGGCAAATGCCCTTTTCTTCTTTTTTTTTGGCAAGGCAGTGGGGTAAACTGACTTGCCCAGGGTCACGCAGCTAGTAAGTGTCAAGTATCTGAGGTCAGATTTGAACTCAGGTCTTCCTGAGTCCAGGGCTGGTGCTTTATCCACTGTGCCATCTAGCTGCCCCAGCAGATGCCTTTTTCAATGATAAGATTTTGTGTGCTTGACCTTTATGGGTCAGTTAATTATGATGTTATTGTGGTCACTAGCTATGCTCCTAGACTAGAAAGTTAATTTGTAAATACATTGGGTGTCATGAAATGTGCAAATATATAATCCTATATAATAACTATGGTATAGAATGTAAGATAATAGTTCAAGAGAAATACAAAGTGTTACCAGAAGGAAAGATCATTTCGGATTGTTGGGCTCACTGAAGGAAATGGCATTCGAACTGATATCTAAAGATTGGTATTATTTGAAAAGGTGGAAAGATGATAGTCCACTTTGGCAGAATTGTTGTCTACGTGGAGGACACAAGTATGAGAGAGATCTTGAAAGGGAGACACACCAGCTTCTGCAGGTCACGTAAGTGGCATGCTAGGGAACCTGAACTTTATTTTATTGGGTAGTCAACCAGCCCTGAAGAATTTTGAGTAGAAGAATGATGCGATCAGATCTGTGCGTATAACTTGTGAAGATGGATTAGAGTGTGGAAAGACTTAGGGGAGAGCAATGGGGGTAGTCTGAGGATAGAGAGTTTGGTTCTTGGATTCTGTCTGAGGAAAGAGGAAGGAGGCTTACACATTTGAGATGTTGCAGAGGTAGACTCCATAGGACTTAGTAACCTTTTGGATGTAGAAGTTAAAAAAGATAACGAAATTTTTCGCATGATGAGTGGATGAATGGTAGTGCTATTTCCAGAAATAAGGAAATTGGAAGTGGGAGTTGGTTTGAAGGGAAAGTTGGTAAGTTGTTTTCTGTATGTTGGTGATGATAATGTATTTTCTTTCTATTCTTGGACTTTCCTGAAGACTGTTGAAGGAACAGATCTGGAGAGAGTGTGTGTGTGTGTGTGTGTGTGTGTGTGTGTGTGTGTGTGTATGAATATGTATATATGTTTTTGTGTGTGTGTGTATACACACACACACACACACACACACACACACATATATGTAGTACAGAATATTTATGTGAGCTGGACTTGACAACACTAGCTATTACTTCTGCTTTCTTTATTAACTTTATGGAGATAGGGATTGGTACAGTGAGCTCCAAAATGAGGAAACTCTCTTTACAAATTTAGTTCAGTCATTTCTTTGAAATCTGTAGTCTTTGGAAAGTTGCCTAGAGCACTGGGGATATTAAGTGACTTGCTCAGGGTCACTAGTATGTGCCAAGGGCAGAATTGGAACCCAGGTCTTCTGGCTCTGAGGCTGGCTTTCTGGCCACAAACATTCTGATTCTTTTATTATTCACTTCATTAAGATATCTAAAATGTAGGAGATTCTGATGTGGACTAAATTTTGAGAAAGTCTTTGATATTTGAATTAAAAGATTATTAGTCACTTTCTGCTTCAGCATGTTTCCTAAGAACTACCTTTTCATATTTTTTGTTAGTCTGTCCTACAGTAGTTTCACAAGGAGTAAAGCATAAAGTGTTTGTGGCAGACAAATTAAAGTTCTTCCTAATTCATATAGCAATAATAACATAGCCTAATAATAATAATAACAACAATAGCCACAACATAACATTTATGAAGACAAGAAATTCTTGACTTGCTACAGCTGTTCCCTGCTTTTGTCAGTTCCAAAGGAATTTTCAGCATTTTGCAAGGAAGATTTTTATCTCCTTAGTAATTTATCCTGAATATTGTAACATAATTGATATTGTACAGGTCTAAAAATCTAGAAATGTTACCCATTGAGAAGAATAAGAAATGGCTGGACTATTAATAGGGAAAGTTGGAATGTGAAAAAAACAACTCTTTCCTGGCAGTACCAGCTTTCTTTGTCTAAAGGACTTTACCAGAGGTTTTAGAATATAAAATTTCCTTTTGCCAGAGTGATGCCGTTGTAGAATCAATATTTGTGACTTATAAAACTTTGCTCAGTAGATCTTTGGACCTTTTATATTTATAACTTGGACATTGAATAATATTCTTTGAAATTTTGATCAATGAGAAAAAAGTGTAATTTACCCTTATTCTTGGATATTTATTTTTAAAAAACAGTAAAAGTATTTTATTTCAACTAGCTTTTTTAAAGGAAACAATGCTTAAAACTACTTTTCATATTCTGTTATTCCCATTTACCAATTAACACAAGTCAGATGATTTGGGAGTAGCCCTGCAAGACTTGTTTTTAACCACATGGAGTAGTCCAGTGATATATTCTTGCTTATTAGAAAAAAAAACAGGTTAATTAAGCAGATTATGCAAGAGTAACTTAATTGCTATCTTTTGGGTAAATTAACAAGTTGAAAAGGGTATTATCCAGAGTTTGGCTTAATTATAGAAGGAACTCGATAGTTACTTGGGTAGTATGGCTATTGCTAGACTATGCTTTATTCAGAAGATGAATCATGATCTATTAAAACATTTTACAGAAATTTCACTGCTCTAAGTTAAGTGGGCTTTGATTTTTTTCCAGCTAAAAGCGTTAAAATGATAATTTGGTAGGACTTCAGTCTTTTGTGGTTGGAGCAAGTTGCGCTGGGACCACTGCCAGGTAGGCTAGGCTATTTTCCCCTAAAAGGAAGACATCCGTGTGGACACGATTTGTCTTGGGGGCCTAGGATTAGTGACTTTGAGGTTTCCTGGTCTCCCAGGTTATAAAAAGCCCAGCCAGGAAGAAGTTGGTATCCCTCAGTCAGACTTGATGGGATGTTCCACTGTAATGTGAATCAACAGAGCCTTCTATTTCAACAAACACTTCCAACCAGATACATTTTTGTGTGGAAATGTGCTGTTCTTCCTGAAACTATATCCTTTTAAAATGCTGTCATTAAATTCATATTTTTTAAAAAAATGCAATATGGTTCGTGAGGGTTTTATTGTTGTAATTCCAGCTCCGAACTATTACACTGGTCTCAGTCAGACCTGCTCCCGAATATTCCTGGTCACGTAAGTGTTTAGCAAGGCCTGTTTTTAAATTGAAGTAAGAGAGTCTGGTGGACACAGAATTTTTGCTTTCTTTTCTCTTTTTTGTCTTCTTCACTGTCCGTAGATGATGTAGTTCCTCTCCCAAAGCCATACAGTTTTTGTTGCTTTTTCTTGGTATATTTTATGATATTTACTTTACAAGTATGTCTAGCAGTTTCAGTCAATTTTATGGGTGGAAAGAGTCTGGAATATAATTTTATCTGTGTGGGGAACTTGTGTTATGAATATTCTTTCCACCAGTGCATATTGTCAATTTATTTGTTATTTACAATGTTAGAAAATTGCCTGGAGTGGCACTGAGAGGTTAAGTGCCTGGCTGCACAGGTACTATTTGTCAGAGGTAGGGCTTTGTGTGGGACAAGTGAAAACTTCTCATGTGAAATGGAAGCTATTCCTCAAAATTTAGTTAAGGCTTTAGCGTTAACTGGGCCCAAGTTTCATTTTCGTGTACATCATGTGATCGGGTTATACATCTGTTGCCCACCCCCTCTATTGTTTTGTAACCACCACCCCGGCCTTATCTTTACCAAATAAGGCAATCTTCTAGCTCCCAAGCTTGTTTTGGGTAAAATGTATCTCTTAGTTTCTGGGTAGAATGTAAGGTCTCTTACCTCAACCAATGAGGATAAACAGATTGAGGTAAACAAGTGGGGGGGGGTTTCTTAGAGTTGTTTGTCTAAGGGTATATATATAACTGCTTGCTTGTGCTTGTATCCTGTCTCCCTACTCCAGTCTGCTCTGGGTAGGTGATGCCCAACTCTTGGTGAGATTTGCTAGAATAAAACTTCTATTTTCTACCTGGAGAAACCTCTGAGTTTTTATTTGGGTAAGTGGTCTCAATCCCACACAACTTGAAGCCAGATCTCCTAAATGAGAGACTGGTCCACTGTCCACTATGCCAAGCCAAACTGTCTGTTCATTGATAATAATTATTTTCTTAAAACAAATACCTGGGGCAGCTAGGTGGTGCAGTGGATAGAGCACCAGCCCTTGAGTCAGGAGGACCTGAGTTCAAATCCGACCTCAGACCAAATACTTGACCACTTACTAGCTGTGTGACCCTAGGCAAGTCACTTAACCCCAATTGCCTAAAAACAAAAACCTACTATAGTAGGACCAACCTACTATATCTACTAATGTATGATCTGTGGTAATTTCAGTTGCCATTTGTTGAAATAACTTTTGGAGTATGATCTTGTTACAGAATCCCAGAATTAGCCTCTGTTACTGTCATGTGTGACAGCTAACATGCTGCATTACCATGTTTTTTCCTTTGACAAATACCATCTCTATTCATTTTCCTTTTATATAACATTTCAAGCCCCTTGCTTAAAACCAAATTCCAGCAACAAATTCTTCAGTTTCAATAAACGTATCTTGTTCTGTCTATAAATTAGAGGTTATCTACCTAATTTTAAAAAATTTTTATATTTTGTTTTTTCCCAATTACATGTAAAATAA